AAAGACAACATGAGGAGATTCCTCAACGGTTAAGGTGCGTTTGTTGAAGACTCTATAAGCCTTACTACGCAATGAATAACCAAGAAAAATTCCTTCATCCGACTTTGCATCAAATTTACCCAAATTATCTTTTCCGTTATTGTGAACAAAACATTTGCAACCAAAGACTCGAAGATGGGAGAGGTTTGGCTTTCTTCCTTTGTATAGTTCGTATGGGGTTTTCATGAGTATCGGTCTAATGACAGCTCGGTTTAACACGTAGCTCGCGGTACTCACGGCATCCGCCCAAAAATACTTAGGAATTTTTGCCTCATCAAGCATAGTTCTAGCCATCTCCTAAAGGCAACGATTTTTACGTTCCACCACGCCATTTTGTTGTGGTGTACGTGGAGCGGAGAAGTTATGCTCGATGCCTAGTTCGTCACAAAACTCGATAAAGAGATCTCGTTCGAACTCTCCACCATGATCGCTTCGTATGGCTACGGTGGTTAAGCCTTTTTAATTTTGAACCTTTTTGAGAAAAGTTTTGAAAACATGAAATGCCTCACTTTTATGAGTTAGAAATAATGTCCATGTGAATCGAGAGTAGTCATCAACAATCATAAAGGCAAAATAGTTTCCCCCAAAACTTTTTGTTCTTGATGGTCCAAAGAGATCCATGTGCAAAAGTTGTAGGGGCCTTGTTGTAGACACAACATTCTTTGATTTAAATGAGGCCCTTACTTGCTTTCCCTTTTGACATGAATCACAAATGGTGTCTTTCTCAATCTTCTGAATAAATTAGTATCGATCACGTCCCTCTTTGATGTGATAATACTAGTGCCATAAGCTTGACGAAGAATCCAGTTCTTTACTCAAGGACGAAACATATTGACATTAGGCATCATTTCATTAGAGATCATGTTCTCAAAGGTGATGTCGAAATTGAGTTCGTTGAAACACACAACCAATTAGCTGACATTTCCACAAAACCTTTAGAGAAAGAGTCGTTCTTCCGCATTCGTAGTGAACTCGGAATCCTTGACTCCACGATGATCTAAATTGTGCATTAATTATTATTTTTAGTCCTTACTAACTTGAACGTCGGAGACGTTTTTAATTCTTTTTTGCAGGGCTCTTTGTTTTTAATTTTATTGTCAGGTGTCAAAGTCAGGGGGGACAAAGCAAATGGATTTTTTTTGTCTCCAGACCTGGTGTAAATCGATTATCACAACCCACAGGAGTTGGAGCAAAGAAACTGAAGGAGCCAACAATCGATTATCAGCGTTAAGATAATCGATTATCAGGGGCGGCAGAACTTTCTCAAAAGTCAGGCGCAAACCAGCAACAATCGATTATCAACTATAAGATAATCGATTATGTAAGCCTGCAGAAGTTAAAGGCAACTCAGGCGCAAACTACAACAATCGATTTACAACCAGGCAGAAATCGATTATTGAAGCCTGCAGTTTCTTTGGCGGAGAATCTGAAGCCTCAGATAATCGATTTACAGGGAGTGTAAATCGATTATCAACGGCGATTTTTCAAAAATCTGACCGTTGCAGAGACGTTGGAGAGAAGTTAATGCCTTGTTTGACCATCCCAACGGATCTCTACACCTCCTCCACTATATATTGGTGATATCTACTCCATTTTTACTCATTCCAATCATCTCTTCTCCATATATTCATCATAATTCATCACTCTTGCTCCTATTCTTCATTTTTTTTCAAAAATTTCTGCAATCTCTCTCCCCTCTCTTGTTGCAATGGCAGGCGGTCAAAGAAAGCATTCCCGCACCGGCAGAAACGTTGCTTCCTCCTCGGCTCCTCCACCACCGGTGCACAAGTATCTCGACGGGTCATTCCTTTGGTTCAATGAACGCGAAGAGGCGACACGGTTCTCGAAAAAGTTTGAGCATCGGGAAATTCTCCCTCCCCGATTCTCCACCGCCCGCTTCATTCATGACTCCATTCCACGTGAGGCACGGATTATCCTCGAACGTGGAAACTTCCTCGATCTCCTCTACATCAAGAAGGTCAATTATCAACCCTTTCTTGTTCGAGCTTTCTACTCGAACTTGAAAAAGGATGAGGACGGAGCATTGATCTCTAACGTCAACGGGGTGGACATCTATTTGAATGAGGAGAACATTCAAATCCTCACCGGGCTTCGTTGGGATGGACAGGATCTCGGGCTCTACGTTGGAGAAGAAGGAGCACGGTTCAACGAGACCGCTCTCTTGGAGGAAGTGGGCATCCGACACTTCGTCCCCACTCCCCAACAGCGGCGCCCTACGATTGCTTCCATAGCCCCGTGTTTCGATTCATTTTTTATGTTTTGACACGGATTCTCAAGCCCAGGAAGTTCAATCACACCACTCTCTCCCAGGAGGACACAAAGACAATTCATGCGATGATTCACAACGCCAATCTCAATTGGTGTAAATTTGTGATGACTCACATGTTCACGACCACCTCCGACAATCGGCCGCTCCCCTACGCCCTCCTTGTCATGGCGATTCTTGAAGAGTATAACATCAAAACCGATGTTGGGCCAA